ATACGTCGTTTGATTTCTTGACTGCTGCTTCCATGAGTGTTGATAGTTGATCCAAGAAGAATGAAGTCCTTGACAACTTCAATCTTTTTTCTGTTGATATGAACATTGTTTATTGGTCCGGTGGTGAAGATTTTTGTTTTCTTTACATTGAGATGTAATCCATACCGAAGGCTGCACTCTTTGATCTTCATCAGTAAATGTTTTAAGTCTTCTTCATTTTCAGCAAGCAAGGTTGTATCATCTGCATATTGCAGGTTGTTAATGAGTCTTCCTCCGATCCTGATGCCACGTTTTTCTTCATATAAGCTAGCTTCTCAGATCATTTGCTCAACATACAGGTTGAATAAGTATGGTGAAAGAATACAACCTTGTTGCACACCTGTCTTAATTTTAAAACATTCAGTGTGAACTGCGAAGTTGTTCTTCCGAAGGCTGGCTTTCCCTACAGCTGCAAGCGAAAAAAAGTTTGGCGAGGGACTGCCTTTGCTTCCCCACATTCCTGCCCCACTCCCCTGCTCCTTCAGGCAAGGACCTGGGCCTAGAAGTTTTTTGATCTTTACCCAACATAAACACTAGCTCTTCGGCCCCAAAGAGAACCAGCCAACTGAAACAATGTTGAAGGTGCCGATTCTGCTCTTTCTTTTGGGAAGCGCATCACTCTGGGTCCTGGCAGAAGGAGCCAGCACAGCCCAACCAGAAGATGACATCGTGACCCCTGGAGTAGAACATGGCATGGTGACCCAAGGCGCAGACATAGTGACTGCAAGTATTAGTGAAAAGTTTGACTTTACTGACAGTACAACTCTGGTGCCAACCAGTGTCGAGAGTGTGACACAGAATCACATTGAGGATCTGTCAACCTTCCAAAGCACCGTCCATGGTCAAGAAGAAAGCCAGAGCACCACAGCCCCGGATGGTTCCTCCGTGGCAACTGGTTCCTCTGTGGAGAAATGGGGTGAACAAACACAGACAACAGTTGAGAAAGATGGTTTGCCAACAGCAACCCTGGTTGGAATCATAATCGGGGTCTTAGTAGCCATTTGTCTAGTTGGTGGGATCATCGTTGTGGCTGTGCGAAAAATGTCGGGAAGATACTTGCCCTAGAGAACTGACGAATTGTGCGTTTCTGCCAACATGTTTAACAAAGAAAACGTTTCCTCTTTCACACCCTGTCCCTGAATAAGAAGACGGCCCATGAAAATGCTACCCACCTCACTCTGCATCTAGGGTGATCCCTCCACTAGCCAAAAGTAACCAAAGGATAAATCAATGTACAAGACTTGCTCCTCTAAGCATTGGCCTTTTGGAACTCTTTTAAGATGAACGCAGTAAAAGAGGAGTTTAAAAAAGAAATGCCTAGAGAATGGAGCAAAACTATATAAAAAGATTTGTAACTAAGATAGACAATATGATTCAATCCATGTTAGAAACTCTTAATTATGTGTCCCCAGCCTGGACATTCTCTATTTCATCCTTCAGAGGAAAAGGAATCTGGAAATATTTATTCCAATGAAGTACTTGGGTCTAGTGCTGTCAGTAAATGGCACCAGCATTTTGTAATGTCTCATCTGTTGAAATGTACACATTCCAGTATCATGTGGGTCTATTTTGTAGTTTGGTGGGCTTAATCAATTAGAAAATCTCAACTTGGTTATCATCAGTGTGATGAGCAGCTGCCTTTGGCTGGTCCAGATAAATCATTTCAAAGGCATCCAATGCTGTTTATAAACAGGAAGACTATACTTTGGCGAAGACATTTTGTTCCCCACAAGACCACCAGGCAACTTCTAGACTGCCTTCTCCAGTGACAACTTTGCCCTAAACAAAGAGTTTTCATATTGAGTAGATGCTCGGTCAGGTTTATGGTTATGCAATCTGATATCTTCAAAAGTCATAGAAGTTTATAAAGCAGGAAAACAGATGCTGTCAACCAGAAGTACAGCCAGCTCCTCCTGTTTTGTGCAATGATGTGTGGATGGTAGGCAGTGCGCTGTTACCCAAATGCACGTGGTATACCAGTCCAGGTTCCATGTTTGAGCATCTGCTAAATGAGAGAGAAGAGGGGAGGTTTTAGAAGACCTATATGAGTTTAAATGGCCTTTACTTTCATTGTTCACGCTCCTGAACAGGAGTTAGGAATAGTGCTCATTTCTTCTTTCCTACCCTTTCCCCTCCCCTCTAGTGAAAAGTTATAGTCCACCCCAAGTCATACACTGGATCCAGTGCCTGCTGTGGGTTTCTTGGTCATGTGTGTGTTGATTGATGATCAATGCGGTGTAGACATGTTTTCAAATAAAACAGATATGATTGTGTACAAAAAAAAAAAAAAAAAATCAGTGTTCCCATGTTCTGTTCGAACAACTGCCTCTTGGTCCAGGTACAGATTCCTTATGAGCACAATTAAGTGGGTCTCACTTTTTCCCTCGAGGTGAGAGCTTTCTCTTCCTACATTATCCAAGAAGAGATAACAGTCATGGCCATTTAGCCAAGCTACAAGCATACTCCATGATATCCCTCCATCTGGACAGGTGCCAATACCAGATGCTAGGCATTACACAGATAGCCAACACTTGCTAAGATAGCCTGCAACTGAGAAATAAGAGACGTGAAAAGGGAAGTCTATTTCCAGATCACATTCATCAGGAGACACTCATTAAGCTTAACAGCACAGCAACATACATTCATTTAATCGTTGAAAACACATCTAAATATTGAAAACGTCCAAGAAACAACAACAACAACAACAAAAGATCTTAGACCATATCCCAAAACAGAAAAGAGTAATGAGATAAATGAGCTGGAAGCAGATATAGACTTGCCATTAGAAGAAGAGCAGGCTTTGCATCTGCCTGAGCAGGGGATATGGAGACAAATTCAAATAGAAGGATGGAGGAAAATAAGGAAGAAGTAAGGAAAGTGCGACAGGAGCAATCAAACAAGATAGATATAGCATTACAAACAACTCAAAACCTGAAAAGAGAGGTCTAGATGATCAATAATAAGATATCAGAAATCGACAATACACTGAAAGGGGAAAAGAATAGAATTGAAGAGATGGAAGCCAGATCTAGCGAGCTGGAAAACAAATCTCTCAATATTGCTAAGATAGAAGAGCAGAACTGGAAAGTGATATGCAAAAGACTGAAAAAAGACCTTTACCTTAAACCTTATATAAAAACCAACTCAGCATGGATTAAAGACCTAAATGTGAATCCCAGAATTATAAAGGCCATCACTGAAAAAATAGGGACAAATTTGAGGGCTCTAATACAGGGCAACACAGACTACCAAACATTATGAAATTTCACAAACAAAAGTAGACTAAATAAATGATTGGGACATACAAAAATTAAAAACTTATGTGCATCAAAAGACTTTACCAAAAGAGTTAAAATGGAGGCTGCAAAATGGGAAAAAAGTCTTTTCCAATAATGGATCAGACAAGAAACGAATTTCTAAAATATATAGGAAACTACAACACACATATATCCACTGTTACCAAGTTATCGAAAATGCGTAATTTAGAAAGTCTTTCTTACATTTAAGCAAAAAAAACCCCTAAAACTTGTAGTTTCCTAACCAGAAATAGGAGTTCTGGGTGACACATATGGTTAAGCACTGGACTGCTAACTGAAAAGTTGGTGGTTCTAAACCACACAGAGGGCCCACAGAATGGGAAAAAAATATTTTGCAATGACATATCAAACAAGGGACTAATTTCTAAAATATATAGGAAACTACAACACCTCTACAAGAAAAAGACAAATACCCTAATTAAAAAATGGGCACAGGACATGAACAGACACTTCACCAAGTAGGAGATCCAGGCAGCCAACAAACATATGAAGAAATGATCACAATCACTAGCTATTAGATAGATTCAAATCAAAATGACAATGAGATATCATACAGTGGAAAATAAATGCTGGGGAGGATGAGGAGAGACTGGGACCCTCCTACATTGCTGGAGAGATTGCAAAATGGTCCAACCACTTTTGAAAACAGTATGGTGCTTCCTCAGAAAGTTGGAAATAGAAATACCTCATGATCCAGCAATTACTCTACTTGGTATTTATCCACAAGAAATACGAGCTATAATACGAATAGATATATGCACACCAATGTTCATAGCAGCACTATTTATAATAGCAAAAAGATGGAGACAGCCTAAACATCCATCAATGGAAGAATGGGTAAAGAAACTTGGTACATACACACAACGGAATATTGTGTTACCCTTAAGAATAACAAGGAACCTGCAAGCCACTGCATAACATGGATGAACCTTGAGGACATTATGCTGAGTGAAATTAGTCAGTCACAAAAGGAGAAATACTGCATAGGACCACGATTGTTGGTTATTGGGGTGTAGGGGATGGGGGAGGGGATGGAGGGGAAGGTGGAGCACAAGGTAGGGAATAGACACAGTATAGTTTGGATGCTGGGGGGCAATACACAAGACGGGGAAGGGAAATGGAAGAACAAGGCAGATGGGAGAACATTTAGACAAGTTTGCATGGGTTAAGTGGGACAGAGGTAAACATCACCATAGAAAGCTTGTAAATCCGTCTTCAGCCTATAACTATTGGTATACCTAAAATGGGACTAGAATTTGTCCAGTGAAGAAGGCTTCCTGAGGAGCCTCTGCATTGCAGAAGACCGTAGGTGGAATCCTGATTCCGATCCACGATCTTCTGAGGTGGGAAATTTCCACTTAAAAGTACAAGTATACCAGTCTGGAGTGGCTGGAAGAACAGAAGATACTTCTTGAAAGACCAGCAGGTAAAATAAAAAGTGATAATGGCAGTCCAAGTGACTACTACAAGAATAAGCAAGTTATTCACTGGTGAGCCATCACGGCAAGCGGTATGGTCCCCTCAGGGTAAACCCCCTTCCAAGACTGACATTCAAGGGGAATGCATGAGTAGGCATATGGTCTTGCTGGTGACCACGTTGGTCTACCGATAAGGGGAAGTGAGGGGAAAACAGCAATGAAGTTGTGAGCTAAGTCCGACCACGTTCAATAGACTCCTGTCAACCTGGATTGAGACCCGATTGGCCAGCAGTATGGTGAGACCTGGGGACACCTGGCTTGGTGTGTAGGGAAAGGGGTGGGTTTAGAAGATGGATTTGTCTTTTGGCAAATTTCGTAGTGGAGGAAAGATGTTGCAAAAATTGCTTAAGGCCTATTTGGAATCTATATGAACCGTGAGTCTTTTTTCCGAAGCTAAGGTAAAGGCCCGTGTGAGGGTGATCAGCTCTGCTTGTTGATTAGTTGTTTGAGGATGGATGGAGCCCTGGTCAATGACTTTGCTTTCAGATACAATGGCATAGCCTGCCCACTTGATTTTATCTTGGGAGAAAGAACTACCATCAGTATACCAAACTAGGTCGGGGGAGGAAAGAGGTCCTTCCTGGATGTGCGAGTCCTGTGGCAAGAAGACTTCTAAGCGATTGTGAATCGGTTCCTGGTCTGGCATAGGGAGTAGGGTAGAAGGATTAAGGACTGGGCATAACTGGAAGATTAATGAGGGATCATGGAGGAGTGAGGTTTGCAGCGAAAGAATCCTGCAAGGGGTAGGTTTTTATAGTTTAACAAATCAGCAATAGCATGATGGGATAAGACAATAGTTGGGGCTCCAAAAATTAATTTGTTTGATTCTTGGATTAAAAGGGAGGCTGCAGCTAAGTTCCGCAAGCAAGATGCCCATCCTCGGATGGTAGGATCCAGTTTTTTTGATAAATAAGCTACTGGAGCAAATATAGGGCCTAATTGGTGGCCTAAAACTCCTAGTGCAAACCCTTTATTTTCAGACACATAAAGATAAAAAGGATGGGTGAGATCAGGTAAATGCAGGGCTGGGGCTTCTAGCAGTTGGGACTTGAGCTGTAAAAATGGGGTAGTAATAGAAGGGTCTAGAGGCTCATGGGGATTGCCTTTTGAGGCATCATAAAGGGGTGCTGCTAAAAGGGAATCATTTGGGATCCAGGCCTGAAGATATCCTGCTAGGCCTAAAAAGGAGAGAAACTCTTGTTTATTAACAGGCATTGGGATATCTCAAAGCATTTGTTTTCTGTCAACCATGATGGATTTGAAACCCAGA